AGAGGACGGCGGAGACGGCCGGACGCGGACAGCTCCGTGGCTGTCTCCCTCAGCTCGTCCCCGCGTCCCCACCTCCCTCCTCCCCTGGCTCCGAGCATCATCCTCCGCAGACCCTCGGTCCTCACGCCCGGGGTCGTTCCGCTCCCGTCGCTCCGTGTAATTACCACCCCTCACCGGCCAAACCGGGAACTTTCTCCGCCCGCGCGCAGGAGTGAGGGGTTGTTTTGTCTGGGCGGGTTTTTCCTGGGGTTCATTGGGTGGCAGTCTTCCGAGAAGGGCTTCGGGGTCCCGGAGAGGCGGCCGCCCCCCGCAGCCTGCCCGCAGCGGGCGGACCGTCGGGTCTCCGCACCCTGTCTGCCCCTCTCCCCCAACCATGACCGAAATGAGCGAGAAGGAGAACGAACCGGATGACGCGGCCACCCACACCCCCCCGGGGACCGTCTCCGTCCTCCAAGAAACCAAGGTAACTCGGGGGGCGCGAGGCCTGGACCCCCCGTGTCCGGTGAGCCCCCGGCGCGGGCGCCCTGCTCCGGACGCGGTCGTCACTACGGGTTCGGGCGCCCTGGGGTCAGCATATCGGGGCGGGTGTGATTCTTAAGGCTCCGCGCGGCAACCCGGGGGTGGGGGGGGGAGCGGGTTCGCGACGACGGGCCACAAGGCGCCCGGGTCGCACAAGCACGACACGCCCTTGCGCTCGCGAGGAGCGGACGCGCCGCTGGACCCTCCGGGGAGGTCTCGCTCGGCTCTGTCTGGGGGAAGCGGCTCGGCGGAGGCGGAGCGAGTGTGTAGCCGTGTGTAGCGGTGCGGGCCGGTGTGCGCGCCCGGGTGTGCGTGCGAGGCGCATCCCCGTGGTGTCCGCCAGGTCTCTGGGTGTCGCTCAGCCTGCCCCCCTCTCTGCCTGTCTCTCTGGAAATGTCTCTACAACCTGTCCCTGTCTTGTTCTGTGTGCGTCTCTCCCGCGTTCTCTCGGCGTCTCTATGTGTTTATCCCTGAGTCTCTCTCTGACCCGCCGCAGTCCTGCATTCCCAGCTCCCAGCCGGGTTAGTGTCGGGGACGTGAGGCCGCGGCCCAGGGGTGCGCAGCTTCCGAGTCCACGCCGGGGGCTGCGGCAGCGCGGGCCGGCGCGGGCGGGGACCCGGGGACTGTTGTTGCGGCTCCAGACCAGAAAGACTGGCA